AGTGCTCTTGGAGATCTATTGGATGTAATGACTTTTTGCGGTGTGTTTGTTCGGATCCGATGAATTATGAGTTTATGATCAGATCTACCCATGAATATTATTTGACTTTTCACTGAACTCTTTTATGCATGATTGTTATAGCCTCGTATTTCTTCTCCGATTTATTGGTTTGTTTTGGCCAACTTCGATTTATCTTGCCATGGGAAGAGGTGCTTTGTAATGGGTTTGATCTTGAAGTGCCCAATCCCAGTGACAGAAAGGGGCATGACATGCATGTATCGTTTCTATTAAGGGTAAAAAGATGAGATTTATTTCATACGTGAGTTTATCTTGTCTACATCATGCCATCTTTCTTAAGGCATTACTCCGTTCTTCCATGAACTTAATACACTAGATGCATGCTCAATAGCGGTCGATGCATGGAGTAATAGTAGTAGATGCAGAATCGTTTTGGTCTACTTGTCTCAGACGTGATGCCTATATACATGATCATTGCCTTGGATATCGTCATAACTATTTGCTTTTCTGTCAATTGCCCAACAGTAATTTGTTTACCAACCGTATGCTATTTTTATGAGAGAACCTCTAGTGAAAACTATGTCCCCGGGGTCTATCTTTTATCATCTATTAAAACTAAAAACACCTTGCTGTAATTTTATTTTATTTATTTTATTTTGTATTGTTGTTTGATCTATCTATGAAAAACCATACCATTTAATCTTGCTCATAACCGTCAAGGGATTGACAACCCCTTGTTCATGTTGGATTGCAAGTATTTGTTGTTTGTGTGCATGTGTTGTCCACTAGTCGTTACTTGGTTCTTCTACTGGATTGATAACCTTGGTTTCACAACTGAGGAAAATACTTATCTCTATTATACTGCATCATCCTCTCCTCTTCAGGGAAATCCCAACGCAGCTCAAAACTAGCATCAATCTACCTCTTCCTCCCTTCTTCTATATTGGAAATTATCTCTCTCCCCTCGGTTGAATCTTCCAGCCGTACGATATCCCCCAAATCTTCTATCCATCTCTCCTTCCCTCTGCGGCGGCTGGGAGGGAAACCCTAATTCCTCAAAGATATCAAGTTCCTCCCCCAGCGAGCAGCCACCACCCTCATTTATATGGACAAATGAAAGGGAAAGCGCATCCTTAGAATATGCTTTCTCTGCATTTCCTCTTAGGTCCTTGTATGCATTGCCACTTTCCACTTGGGCCGAAAATGGCCGGGAAAAGTTCAGGCTACTTTTTTCTCTCCCACAAACCTTATTTGATTCTCCAGGAGATTTTCCCCAGTTCATTTTCTCCACTTTGCAATTTTTCACAACTAAATCCCCCATTTCTACCACCCTACCAGCCTAGTAATCAGGAATTAGTGAGAATTACCTCTTCATCATTTGATTTTGAACTATTTTTCCATCTATCCCCAAATTAGAAAAGTTTGTTGCATTATTTTGATCCAATTGACACTTCCCCCAATCGAGGGGAGTGCAAATTCGATTTATCGCACCTCTGCACCCCTTTAATTTCTTACTTCTAATCATCCTAGAGTTACCCCCTCCTTCTTAGAATTCAGGGAAAGTAGATATTTACTGAGCATGTCATTTTTACCTTGTTCATCCGATGTGTACCCATCCTCCTCATCGGAGCTCTCTCCGGCCAGCAACCAAAAGTGATTGCCAGCCGGAGAGGCTCCTACTCCCTACCCAGGGAGCGAGCAAGGCTGAGCAGGCACGGCGAGCGGCATGGGAACCGCGGGGACCTCCTCAGCACCATGGGCATCTTCGTTTTATTCTTCCTTGTCATCATACCAGGCTTCATCTCCTCCTTGGGTACCACCACTTCGTTCACCTTCAGATCCTCCGCTCCCACATGCTCCAGGGCTCGAGCCGGAGCTGGAAGCCCCATCACCGCTCTGACCACGAACTCCGACGGGCCCGTCGGGGTGCGGCACCGCGAGCGGATGCTCTTTCCACTTCATGGCCTGCCTGGGGTCGTCCGATGCGGCCTCTTCCATCGCCCAGAGGAGCATCCTGAGCGCGCCTACCGGCTCGCCCGTCGGGGTGAGGCGAAGATCTTCCGCCTCCGTGAGCTTCCTGTACGCTGATCCCGCTGCCTCCTTCAGATCTTGCTCTTCCGCAAACCAAGAGATGATCTCTCGCATCTTCTCCATCTTCTCCTCGTCTCCGTTTGCAATATCCAGTATGCGCTTCTCGAGCCGTAGCTTCCAGAACGCCATGGATCGCCAGGGGGGCGGCATGCTTTGGTTTGTGAGAGGTGGTGTGGATCTCGTCGAGGAGTGAGGGAATGGCTGCACCACTCCGCGCCGCGGCTTTAATGGCCCTCCAGTCATGGCGATCTCTCTCCTCCTTGACCTCGATCCACGCAACGCGCCGCGCTTCCTCTCCTGTGCCCAGCACCCTAACCACCAAAACAACGTGACAACGGAAAACCACTTGTACACCCTCACCTATCTCTTCATCGTCGTGCACGCACCACGAGTCCACACAGAACCCGTGGTCGTCTAGCAACGCCAGTCACCACGAATTCACACGCCGTAGAAGAATCCCTCGCTGGAAAATCAGCAGTGCGGGTCAGAGACGAGGTGAACCGCCCACCGGCGATCCCCTGACGGCGGCGGATCCGTGCCGCCGTGGTGGCGTGGTGAGACTGCGTCGCCCAGGTGCCGTGTTGGTTCCCATGTTGTCAAATTAGTTCAATCCGATTAGAGATGTTGTAACCTTCATAAGATTTTTGCAGCTTATCTGTATAAGAAGACACACCTCGGACGTGTGTTTAATTTCCCGTTTTGCGTCGGCTAAATCCATCATGCACATCTGAATTTCCAGCGAAAGATTATGTCCACCCAAGTAGGTCCATGGTGACAAAAGATTGGTTGGTGCAACACACTTATAAATATATATACTGCATGTCTTAGATGGGATCATAGCATACCCCAGACCCGAGCGTACCTTCTCTCCATCTTCCGGAAAGGAGACATTGAAAACCTTTGCTTAAACCTGATGATTAGCATCTGTGGATCCAACCTTTTCTTTGCTCCATCGGGATAAACTAGTCCGCCCTCACATGGACGAGGCAGCTGGGAGCCTGCCTGGGACCGGCCAGTACTACTAGGACTGTAGCACAGTATCCCATAAAATCGGCTATTGAATCCCAAAAGGGCCAAACAATTGCAGGAAAATACCTGACAACTGGACCGGGGCAGGACCGGACAGGGGACACACTAACACTGTAACGTGCCAAGGTGTCGCACTTGCACATGCGCCTTCTTGCTTGTGGGCATATTCCCTTCTCCTCTCCTCCGGCCAGCGGCTACTGATCGGATCAATCGAATCCATACATACATCTGCTGCTCAATTTCACCCCAATAAGAAGAAGAACAACAACAGTTACTAGAAGGCAGATTTGTCGAATTTTGATCCACGATGGTTTCTTCGATCCGACTCATTTAGACCAAGTTTTGTCGAGAATCATGGCAAGAGCACTGACTTTGAATTATACTCCCTCCGTTCCTAAATATAAGTCTTTACAGGGATTCCAATCACATACGGATGTATATAAATGCATCTTAAGTTTAGATTCATTCATTTTGTTCCGTATGTAGTCCACCTAGTGAAATCTCTACAAAGACTTATATTTACGAACGGAGGGAGTAGGAAGTACTCTACTAGAGATATACTCCTAGTCCTATATCATGCAGAGGCAAGTGACAACCACAATTTCCCTAAAAGAAAGAGTGACACCCACAATATGTAGATGCGGCTCTTCTGTGGCGGAAGGAAGGAAAGGAAAGGAAACGACGAAAGAAAGCAGATGATGATTGGTGGTGGAATCACATGCATGCATGCTCGCCCGACGTGAGGGGCAACGTGCACGGCCTAGCTGTCTCTCCCCGCCCGAATCAGATCACCGCTCCACGCACAAACATGACCCGACTCCGCTTCATGCTTCCCTCCTCGACTCAACTACTGTACGTGCTACTCCTACTCGGCTGACTCCCTTCTTTACCCTACATTCTACACCTGCATTGCATTTGCAGTCTACACCTTCATGTTCCAGAATACAGAGTGTGTATGCGCGTTGCATAGAGCTTAGTTGATTAATTAAATACAGGGAGCGCTACTACCTTTTCAATTTCACACCGTAAGAATCAATGAACTACTGGGTATTTACCGTCTCGGGCACTTGGTCGTTATTTAGGCGAGCAGAAACACCCCCTCGTACGTCTCCCGCCGACGAGCTGGGCAGGTACGTTGCACGCGGCCGCCGGCTGCGGCACACACACGCACGAGCTCGGCGTGCGAAACGCCCTAATTTCCGGTGATTTCTCGGTGGACTGGAGAACTAACTAACTGGAGATACTACGCCCGTACGCTGCCTACCAGCTTGGAAAACGACCGGCGGCCGGATCTCAAGAGGATTTCTCACCGCCGCGCACGTAGTTTAACTCTGGAGACCTCTCTCTTCCTTGACCCTGCCCGACACCAGCGATCTGCGAGTTAAGGCGTGATCACCGAGAGATCTCGGCAGAGTTTCGGCCAGGCATGCATCGGCCGTCGTCGAGGTCACGCACGGCACGGCCGGCTGGGGCCTGCTGTCATGCCCGATCGAGCTGTCCAGCCAGCCGTGGCACGTACGCCATCCAGACCCCCAGAGTTTTACCAGCAGTCGGGCAGTTTCACCGCAGGTGCCGCTACGCTATCGCCGCCGCCGCCGACAAATTTATTCCACCTGCGCAGCAGGCGTACAGAGCAGCAAAGATATCAAAGCGCCCTCCCACCCACAAATTCCTCCATCCTCTCCTTTGGCGTCCGTTTCACTTTCCCTCCAACCCTTTATATCCTCCACCACCTCCCACCGCACCCCACCCCCCGCTCGCTCGCGCTCTCTCTCTCTCTTTCCTTCACCTCCAGCTCCGAGCAAGCTAAGAGCGAGCTCGGCCAAGAAACTGAGGGAGCGATCGGTGGGCCGATGATGACGATGGCGGCGGAGGACCAGGCGGCGGTGCCGCGGGTGGTCTCGATCCTGTCGGCGCTGCTGGAGCGCGTGGCCAAGCGCAACGACGTCGTCGCGGCGGTGGAGCGGCGCATACGGGACGTGGAGGAGCAGGAGGAGCAGGACGATCAAGGAGAAGACGGCAAGGAGACGACGACGACAACGACGACAAAGAAGACGGCGGTGTCGGCGTTCCAGGGGCTGACGAAGCCGGCCATCTCCGTCGGCGGCTACCTGGAGCGCATCTTCCGGTTCGCCGGCTGCAGCCCCTCCTGCTACGTGGTGGCCTACATCTACCTCGACCGCTTCCTGCGCCGCCGCCCCGCCCTCGCCGTCGACTCCTTCAACGTCCACCGCCTCGTCATCACCTCCGTCCTCACCGCCGTCAAGTTCGTCGATGACATGTATGTATCCACACCATCATCCATCCATCCCAGCTCATGCAAACTCAAAATCTCAGCCCCAAATTAACAACAAACAAACATCGAATTACACCATCTGCATTCCTGTTTGGGCCAGTAGGATTAAAGCGATCTAGCTACTACTACCGGATAAACTGAACCATAATTGAGGTCGTTCAGTGCAGCATGATCATTTAACTGAGGCAGATTTAAATTAAATCTGCAGTCCAAATGGGCTCCGAGTCTGATCTGATCTGACTTTGCGACCCCTTTGTCGTGTCGTGCCGAGCACACGACCGACCTCACGGACCGCCGCTGTGTGTGTACCAGCCATGCGGGCCCGGCCGGCTCGCATTTTTTTCCCACCATTATTTGGATTCCCAACTGGCACACCACCAACCGGAGCCAAGCTAGCCATTGCCGTTTCTAGCTGGTCACGAGGACAGCTCACAGACGTCCAATTCGATGTCTTCGCCACCACCGCAATTCACAATTGCTGTCAAAACAAGCTTGCTGCTGTTGCTGTTGATGCGTCGATCGCGCGCAAAGCTTTCGCGTGTCCTCGAAGAGAAAACTTGACGAATGTTTGTTGTGAATGTGAATGCAGATGCTACAACAACGCCTACTTCGCGAGGGTGGGGGGGATCAGCCTCATGGAGATGAACTACCTGGAGGTGGACTTCCTCTTCGGCATCGCCTTCGACCTCAACGTCACGCCCGCCGTCTTCGCCTCCTACTGCGCCGTGCTGCAGACCGAGATGGCCTACCTCGAGCACCCGCCGCCGTCCATCGACGCCGTCTCCCCCACCAGCTTGCTGCAGCACTGCTTGCCCGACCAGGAGGTCGACACCGCCGCCGCCGCCGCCGCCGCTGCCAAGTCCGGCTGCCACCGACACCAGCAGCAGCTCACCGTCTGATCGATGGAGCTCTTCCCCTCTCTCTCTTTTTTGTCCCTGCGGTGTCAACTGTCATGGTCTCTTCTTTTTTCCTTTTCTTTTCCATTTACCGTTCTTGGTACATAGGTGTTGGTTAGCTAGGATGGATTTCGCCATTGTTGGAAGGATCGATCATGAATGGAAGAAGGGATCGGATTGAGATTGTGCGCGCCCATTGTTTAACGAGCTGAGATGCTGCTAATCTAATCTGTGTGCATGTGAGTCACAGCACACTGCATCTGCATGCTTTGCTTGTCTCCTGTCTGTTTCTTTTCCTCTGCTCTTCTTTTTCTGTTTCCTCCGCTTTCTGGAGCGAACTATTCGCCGGGGAAAAGGTGATTTACTATGATTGGATGGATGGATCGGACATCGTGGGATGGCGGAGATTGGAGAATAAGCGGGTTTGATGCTCAGAACATAGCATGTTTCTTACTATGCGCTGCATGGTGTGTGTGTGTGTGTGTGTGTGTGTGTGTGTGTGTGTGTGCAGTGTTGGGACAAAATCGGCCTCACCGGAATGCGGCGGAAAATGACGGCCAAGGGTTTATTTGCTTCGCAGGAGACTGAGTAGTAATCCCCCTCGGCGTTCCGAACGTGCAGGAGGCTGAATTTATGAGCAGAGTGGTGGAAATGGCAGTCACTCTGACTGAAATTGTGTCTTGAGGCAACGGGCTGAAACTGTCAGTGACAGATTCGGTCAGATGTTCTGACCAGAAACAGCTTAGTCAGAAATATAATCCATGCTAAAACCATCAATGCTTCTTCAGACGCCTTTTATACTGAATTTTAAAAAAATCTTCAGAGCTCAGTTCCCTCTTTGCAAGGACAATGCAGTTACCATACACAGCTTCCGCGAAAAGAACACCGACAAGTTACTGCGGTCGCTCCATGTTTATTTCGATCTAAATTCTCTACAAGAGACAAGCAAAAGTCCAATGCACAAATGATGAGACCCTACAAGGAAATGGGGCGAGCATCTTGGGTGGTGTGCAGGCGAGGAGGAGAAGATTTGATGATCAGAAACAGTAGACGCATCGACATCAAGGTGATGCGGGTTGCCAGTGAAAATACAAGGATGGATCGGAAGGAACGTGGTGTGCATGTAGATGTAGGGCTAGTGGCTGCGCCTTTTGCGCTGTAGTAATATATAATGCCTTCGGCCTTAATGCGGTGAGCTGGATTAGAACATGGCTGGTCACATGAAATTCCCAAGGATGAGCCAACAGCAAGAGAGAGAAGTACGAACACTCCCTCCCAACTTTTTCCGAGAGATGAAAATCATTAGTACACGGTTTGCAAAAACGTCTTACATTAGTGTACAGAGGGAGTACTGCACAATGTTGAAGCTGGTGCATGTTTTGCTTGTATTAGTAGAAAATAGTCAGCATTACCAACGCCTGTAAGTTTTCTCCTCTCCAGTTCTTGTTTCTCTACATGTGTAATAAGGATTGGCATGTGAGTACACGTGGGGGCAGTAGCTAGCTCAGCCGATGCATGTGATGTGCCCATTGCCAAAGCCAGCGAGTGGCATTTGAACCCTGTGAGTCCTGCCCTACCCCATGCGTGGGGAATCTGAGGCCTAAAGCATCACAGGAAGCGAACCATTTGGGGGCTGTGATGCACGATTCGTTGGCCATCGGTTTGTGTCTTTCCTTTTCTTTTCTTAAAGTCTTTGATTTCCTTTGGCTGTTTCCATGTGACCTGAAGAAATGGGGTGGGTTTCGGTTGGGAGCAGTGGCGTGACAGTTAACCGGGCGACTAGGCAACTACAGAAGTTCACGAGGACCACCTATGGAAATCTCTTTTACTACTGAAGTGTGGTAAATTTTCATTTGAGCTCACGAGAATTGGCAAGTCCGTCGGCGCATAGGGAGGTAGGAACACTGTTGCATGATTGACACTGTTTGCGCTAAGGCAAGTTGACTGTCAGACTGTGAGGCTACTCCGCACATTGGGTCTAGAAACGATTGTCAGTGGATTAACAGTAGGATTTTGCTGTTACTACCATCCAGTGGACCATCGACACATGGCGTGGAAGGTAGAAACACTCCCACGTGTGTACCCAAGGCATTAGAATCAAGGGGTGACCAGCTCAGTACAAGGTGACAAAAGGTGTCCCTGTCATTTATGCTTCCGGTTGGCATGTTTTTCGGAGAAGAAGAATAAAATCTGCCTTTACTTAGCAATAGCATCACTGTCCTGAGTTATACTCCCTCCGTTTTTATTTACTACGCATACTATCTTTGTCTTAGGTCAAACTTTGTTAAATTTTACAAAATTTTATTGACATCTAGAGTACCAAAACAACGCCATTAGAATCAACACTGAATGTATTTTTGCATCATACGTATTTGTTGTTGTGAAAGTTTGTACTTTTTACTATAAACTTGGCCAAACGTTATAAAGTTTGACTTAAGTCCAAACTAATATGTAGCGTAAATAAAAATGGAGGGAGTATAAACTTTATGAAGTAGTTGTACTTAGGAAGTAGAACTTGATGAAGTCTTAGGAACCCACTTGACCAATGCTTGAGGTGGTTCTTCAAATGAGTCAATCTTTTCTTGAAGTTTGTCCTTGTCTTTTAGCTTGTGGTCTTATGGTGGAAGATCATCTTGAACTTGTGTTTCGTCAAAGGAAATAGGATCATACTTCTCTTGTTGAGGAACAAACTTCTTCTTGAGGTATTGATCTTCTTCCCATTCAACTCCATTGGTATTGAACTTTCGTTCAAAACCAATACCTTGATTCTTCTGGTGCCTTCCTTGCGTACAATTTCCTCAACTTGCACACTCCCGACAAGACTATTGTAGAAACTATTTTCTATAATTCCTTTCAATAAATTGTTTTCTTGCTCAAGTGTAACTTGGCTAAGAGAATCATTAGTGGAATCAATAGAACTACTAGAAGCAACAACATTGGATTTAGCATTGTTATTGTTATTACTAGAGGTAGAACCTTTGTTACTCTTGTTACTAGTTTGAGTAGATTTAACTTGTGGCATAAAAGTAGACAAGAGAAGGCGTTTGGCAATGTAAGCAGAACTCTTCTTTCGAAGATCACCATTGATTGCTTTTAGAAGCTCATGCTCTTCCTCTAAATTTAGCTTCTTGAAGTGCAGCTTCTCATGAGTTCTTAGAAGCTCTCTATGGTCTTATTGAGTTGTTTCATGAGCTAACTTAAGAGTGTCTAATTCCTTAGTTGGATGCTTAATCTCCTTTTTAGTAATGGCCCGAATCCTCGTCGAACTCCCACTTGAGTTCGGTAGCATCCCCTGCACTGGCCTCATCGACACCTGCATCTGTTTGGAAGTATCTGTGAGTCACGGGGACTCAGCAATCTCACACCCGCGAGATCAAGACTATTTAAGCTTAAGAGTAGGAAAGGGTAGTGAGGTGGAGCTGCAGCAAAGCACTGAGCATATATGGTGGCTAACTTATGCAAAAGAGAGCGAGAAGAGAAGCAAAGCACGGTCCAGAAGCTATAAGTGATCAAGAAGTGATCCTGAAACTACTTACGTTCAATCATAACACAAGACCATGTTCACTTCCAGGACTCCGTCGAAAAGAGACCATCACGATTACACACGCGGTTGATTCATTTTAATTAAGTTAAGTGTCAAGTTCTCTACAACCGGATATTAACAAATTCCTATCTGCCCATAACCGTGGGCACGGCTTTCGAAAGTTCAAAACCATGCAGGGGTGTCCCAACTTAGCCCATCACAAGCTCTCACGGTCAACAAAGGCTATTCCTTCTTCCAGGAAGACCCGATAAGACTCGGAATCCCGGTTACAAGACATTTCGATAATGGTAAAACAAGACCAGCAAAGCCGCCCGAATGTGCCGACAAATCCCGATAGGAGCTGCACATATCTCGTTCTCAAGGTACACCGGATGAGCAGTCCGTACAATTAAAACCAACCCTCAAGTTTCCCCGAGGTGGCGCTGCAAGGGGCACTAGTTTGGACCAACACTCAGAGGAGCATTGGCCCGGGGGTTCAAAATAAAGATGACCCTTGAGTCCGCGGAACCCAAGGGAAAAAGACTTAGGTGGCAAATGGTAAAACCAAGGTTGGGCCTTGCTGGAGGAGTTTTATTCAAAGCGAACTGTCAAGGGGTTCCCATAACACCCAACCGCGTAAGGAACGCAAAATAAAGGAGCATAACACCGGTATGACGGAAACTAGGGCGGTAAGAGTGGAACAAAACACCAGGCATAAGGCCGAGCCTTCCACCCTTTACCAAGTATATAGATGCATTAAAGTAAATAAGAGATAATAATGATATCCCAACAATATCCATGTTCCAACATGGAACAAATTTCATCTTCACCTGCAACTAGCAACGCTATAAGAGGGGCTGAGCAAAGCGGTAACATAGCCAAACAACGGTTTACTAGGAAAGGTGGGTTAGAGGCTTGACATGGCAATATGGGAGGCATGATATAGCAAGTGGTAGGTAGCGCGGCATAGCAATAGAGCAAACAACTAGCAAGCAAAGATAGAAGTGATTTCGTGGGTATGGTCATCTTGCCTGAGATCCCGCAAGGAAGAAGAACGAGTCCATGAAGAAGACAAACAAACATAGTCGAACGGATCCTCACAACTCCGGAACGAAACCGAAGCTAACGAGAGAAGCAACCCGGAAATAAGCAAGCAACATAGTAAACAACCATCACATAAACATGGCATGATGCACAACCAAGCGAATGACAAGGTAACAACAACGAATAACTAGAAGACACCTAGTGTCGGGGATATACCCCGCGGTATAACCCGGCTGGAGTTATAACCCGGCTGGGGCTTAGTAAACCGGCAGGTGTTAAAGCAGGTGGTAAACCGGTTGGTGTTAAGTCAGACGGTAAACCGGTAGGTTGTTAAACCGGCTGACAATTAAGACAGATAGGTAAAACAGGCAGTTAATCCAGACGGTAAACCAGCTGGTTGTTAAACCGGCTGACAGTTAAGACAGGAATTAAGTCAGATGATAACTCAGCGAACATTCTTAAACCGGCAGACCATCTTAAACCGGCACCAGTTAACTCCCGGCAGGCAGTGGTAACTGGGTTGCGAGGAGTTATGAAGCCCGAGACGTTATGAAGCCCAAGATGTTAAGAAGCCCAAGAAAAGAAGTCATAATAGTTAAGTCTTAAGTCCAATTTGGACTCTACATGTAACCCGCCCCTTCAACATATATAAGGAGGGGTAGGGCTCCTCAAAAAGGGACAAGTAAGAAGAAGAAACAATCTTAAAGGGTTAGGGTTATCTGGGAGAGCCGGTTTACGGCGACTTCCTCATGATCATAATGAGACATAACCTCAAACAGCATGTATGGTTGTTACCGGATGATGTTTTCCGGGGCCCGAAGCTGTCTAAACCCTTGTCTTGTGTTGCATCTCTCGGTTCCGCTCAACCCCTCTCAAGCTACCACATAGACGCGTTGGCCTCACGACTAAGTCCTCACACTAGGACATCTGCCGTGACAAATCCACGACAGTTGGCGCCCACCGTGGGACCTCCGCATGGTGGTGTTGAGTTCTTGGAGATATTTCTTTAGGGATCAAGAATTTCG